CATGGTATTGTCGTGGATCAATTGACGGATCGTATTTATTATGTAGTCGCTCAGCGGGGCGTACATTTTTCGGTGGAGAGTGCAAATTTGGATGGTACTGATCGGACGGTTATAATGAAGGGACTCAATAATGAGCCATTCAGTTTGGCTGTAACCACAGATGCAATATTCTGGACTGATAACACAAACCGTGCCATCTGGGGTCATTCAAAATTCGTCAATGATCCTGAATCGATAACACCAGCGAAAGAAGAAGTAGAAGATGGTGGCAATGTAGCAATGGAAGAAAAAACCGGCGCACGTATGATACTGCAGTTTGGAGTTAAACCACGTGGTATAGTGGCGCGTGTTCATTACCTTACCCATTCCGTTAATGATCAGCACTGTCACCAAGTGGTGGCCAGCATTAAAAGCCGTCTGCTGTCATTCGTAAAACCAACCGATAGTGCGCTGGATGTTAATACGAATTTCCTAAGGCAGAATTATTGTCTCAATGGTGGCGAATTCGTTGCGCAAACCAATAGATGCATCTGCAAGGTCGGTTTCAAGGGTGAACGATGTCAGAATAACGAGTGTTTTAACTATTGTATGCATGGCACCTGCGTTATTTCTTCCCTCGGCTTACCAACTTGTGAATGTCCGCGCGGCTACTATGGCGGACGGTGTCAGTGGTATAAGTGCGCCGGGCATTGCTTGAATAATGGATGGTGTGCGATTGAAGACTCCGGCGAGCCGAGCTGCTCATGTAAAGACAATTTTAGCGGTGCGCGTTGTGAACAAAATTCAACAGAAATCTGTGCGCTTTATTGCAAAATTTTGAAGCTGGAGCCCGATACTAATACTAATATACCGTTGGGTTGCGCTGATATGTAAGTATGATACACCAACTATATAAGTCCCGGCAAACATATTCTTGGTGTTCACAATATATTTATGAATTCGAAATAAGTCCTACGTAAATAAGTATGGGAGATATATAAGTTTCAAAACCCAAAAATTTATGCCTCATATACATACATATACATATGATGCCTTTAAGAGTCATGCATGATCCAAATTACGAGCTAGAGCTTTGTGCCAATAACAAAACATAGAACTTTTGGGATTTATATACAATGGCGGTCAAAAGTGGATGAATGGTGTTTCGTATTTAATATTTTCAATGTTTTTCAACCTATAATTTTTTTGATATTTTTTTATAAAAATATGGTTCATGCTTTAACAAAAACCATAAAATCACACTTTCAAACTTTATACAGAATTTAGAAAAAATCCACAAATTTAACAGGATTAGAAAATGCGTTGATTTTAATTTGCACTTTTTTCGATATAAACATGATTTTTTTGTGGAAGAATATGCGCAAGACCTTTTGCGAAAAAAAAAAAAAAATCAACGCTAGTTCTCCTAGATTTCGCATTTTATATGGAAAAAACCGAAAAAGCCGTCAGCGAAAAAAAATTAAAAAAAGCAACTTTTTAGCCGCTCCCCAAAAATTTAAAAAAATTGTGGCTAAACAGTTCGAAATGTAGATAAAAAATTTTTAACCATATTTTTATAAAAAAATATCAAACAAATTTTAGCTTGAAAAACATTGTAAATATTAGAAACGAAACACCATTCATCCATTTTTGACCGCCACTGTATGTATATCTAAAAAAGGTTTATACAGAACTAGAGGTACCCGGCCACGCCTTGCTTAGTCTAATAAAATTGGAAATATTCACTTGTGGGTAATTTTAAGTCACTCTCGAATGTTATTCGGACATACCAAAACGACTATTATCATTTTCGGTCGCTCGCCGGTCATCAGTGTGGGTTCATGTGAGGAAGCTCGTCGTTCATTTGATTGACTTCGTCGACCTATGTCCGGGCGTCTACTCTGTATTGCGATTCGAAGAACAAATTGGTCGAATTTGAATACTTGACACTATGAATTTGTGTTAAGGTCTGATTGTGGCAACTTAACTTAACATAACTTAGAACTTAAAATGTCAAAATGAAACAGACTTCGACGTCGCATTACGTTATTAAGTTTCGCCTGTTCAAGTATAAGCAACATCCATTAAAGAGAATTTTTAAGTGACAGCCTTTAGTTACGTTAAGTTACCATAATCCGACCATCCGTGTCGGCTTTCGAATGGCATTGAATCGCAATACAGATTAGAAATATTAAAATATTTGATTTTTTTTACGAAAAACCAAAACACGGCTTGAGAATTGTAATAAATTTTACACATCCGAATGAAACAAATGACAGTTTTGTGTAGCACTTCAGCTAGAACTTAGGTCAACCAAAAATGTCTTGTATAAAAAAAAAATCTCAAGAGGTACTTCTGTGTTTCTGTGCTGAAAATTCTGTATGAAATCCATTTAAGTAAAGAAATGTTGCAAATTTTGAACCACTGGTTATTCCAAGTTGCGGGTTAAACTTCATGATACTAATTTGTTTTTTACCTCCAATTAAATACAAAAAATAAAAAATATTGAAGGTTAAGTATGCAATTGGTGGTAGATGACGCTTGTATATTTAACGCAGGTAGGATATTAGATATTTTATAACCAGAAAAACTCAGCTCCAAATCCCGAAAATTGTCTGCCTGTCTTAATTTTTTAATATTAACTTTTTAGATTTGTGATAACGCAAATGAAAAATGTTCTAAGCCGAAGATTTCTTAAATACCTTTCGTTTGATAGCATAACTGTAATATGTATCAATATAATTGAATTAAATTTTTCAAAGGGGTGGCAACCCTCTATTAAAATACTTCCCAAACTTAGCTTTCTTAAACCACTTTATTTTGACATCCTTATTGCAACATTTAATTTACCCTATCAATTCATTTGAATAAAATTTTTCAAAAGGATGGCAACACTAAAATTTTTTTTGGAAATTAAGCTTCCCTAAGCCGCTTTGGTTTGATACACATATTGTAATAATATATTATTTATCTTATCAATTTAATCGAATTAAAATTTTGAAAAATGTGGCAACCCTCTTCAAAATATTTTCCATGAAGCTTCCTTTAACCTCATATCAAAATTTTAACCTGATATCCAAATTGTAAAACATATTTCATAAATCATCCGGAGCTAATTGCGAAAGAATCAGAAATATAATTATTTTATTTGTTGTTATTTTTGTTCTTATATGTGCAATTTTTATTTGTTGTTGTATTTTCTCATATGTATGTGAACTCTCTCTTTGGTGTTTTTTCTTATACATATGTGGTATTCCATGGGCAAAAAATAGTGTTCATATTTTTGACCATAACTCTGGATCTATTTATCGGATAGCAAACAAACATAACTTAAACATACCCCACATACGTTTCAACAAACTGTGAAAATGTCATCAACATTGATCCAGTGGTTTTTGAGTAAATGTGTTACGTCAATTTTGCAACTTTATTTTATATATAAGATAATCAGAAATTAAAAAAATAAATAAATAAATAAAATAATTGGACTGCAACTGCCTGCATGCAACTGTATGTACGAGTATATATACATAAGTAATGTTTTATTTATTAAACTTATTTCGCATTATATCTTTACAGACACCGATTTTGTAGAAAAGCAGAAAAGCAAGAAAAATCCAACCAAGGAGGCCGCCAAAGAGGCAGGATTAACCAACAAAATAAAAAACAATAAATAAATAGTTTTCATTTTTATACCCGAGCGTACTTGTCGAGTCGAGATAGATATAGACATATACATACATATATACAGTGACTCAAACAAATGACCACGTGTTGTTTTTTTAAGTATTCGTAATATTTTTCGAGCAAAGTGTTTTTTTACTCGTCCAAGCTTTACCCAAAAA